CGGCTCCAAGCCTGACAAGACCTCTACGGCTCCAAACACAAAAGTATGCCGGCAAGGGCCAACGGCTCCAAACACGGCATGACCGAAGACTACGGTTCCGAAGACGACGGTAGCACCTCCAGGTGCGACGACGCATGGACCGCCAACGACTGGCACGACGAGCGCGAAGAAGCAGATCAGCAAGACGCGGCCTGACAAGGAGCGGTGCGTAGAGGCCTCCTAGATGGGGTCCGAGTAGACGGGGTCGGCGGATCTCGCCGCATCGCCGAAACATCGGCGATGCATCGCCGATGCATCGGCGATGCACTGACGATGCACTGGCGACGTCGGCCATGCATCGGCGACGTCGGCGTGGAGAAAAGAGGGCCCCACATCGGGCCGCATCGGCGATGCATCGCCGATGCATCGGCGATGCGGCACGATCCTCCGACCCCATCGACTCCGACCCCATTCAGGAGGTCTAATTAGAATGCGATTGGAGGCCTGCAAATGGGCACCAACACCAACAATGGGAGGTTGCCTCCACAGGGGGGAGATGATCCTAGATTTCGATAATGGCTGTAATATTTCGGCAACCCTGGAAGCCAGAAAATTACCACCATCACCGATCTCGGGATCTTCTTCCCTCGGTGGCGGCACACCGCCGATATTGGTGTTGGTGTCAACGTCTAGGCCTGCGATGCGACGACGAACGGTGCGACGCGAAGGAACGGTCGCAGACAGTGCGGTCCGACAGCCGGTGGGTCGACAACGGGTGGTCTGACAAGGGGAGTACAAGCGTGGCTTCGCTGGCCTGCACAGGCCGAAGTGGGAAGGGGCGGGCCCTCGCAGTAGGCTCGGAGCCCTCTGGTTCCCCGAAAAGTCTTCTTGGCCATCCCCGAAGGCACGGACATTTTCCCAGAAGGCTGGGGAGCCCCGCCGCCCCCTGAGAGCGCCACCCCCTTTTCGCTTCCCCCCCCCCCGCTCGCCGCCGAGTCTTGCTGCCACAAGGAAGGCAGCACGGGGAAAGTATGGGCTTTCCTGGTCACGGGAGCAGCGCCTCTGAATGGCTGAGCCCAGGCAAAGTTCGAGGAACGGCCCGAAAACCAGAGCCCCCTCTTGAGCCGCGGGTGGTCCTTATTTCAACGTCTCGGAGGATGACGCCAAGATCATAATCGACTCACGGGCTGGCTTCTGCAAGCCCGTACCACTGCAAGCCCTGGAAAAAGGATGAGGATGAGGATGATGATGAGGATGAGGATGAGGGGGAGGAGGGGGAGGAGGAGGAGGAGGAGGAGGAGGAGGAGGGAAAGGAGGAGGAGGAGGAGGAGGAGGAGGAGGAGGAGGAGGAGGAAGGGGGACGGGGAGGAGGTCGAGGAGGAAAAAGAAGAGGAGGAGGAGGAGGGGGAGGAAGAGGAGGAAGAGGAGAGGCGCGAGGATGCCGTGGAGCTGGACGCGCTGGAAGGGCTGCAAACGGCGAAACAACGAGGACGAGGAAGGCGAGGATCTGGACATCCTATGCGCGCGAGGCGAGCGCGACGGCGATATGAAGCTGGGCGCACTGGAAGAACTGCAAACGACAAAGGAGGAGGAGGAGGAGAAGGAGGAGGACGAAGAGAGCGAGAATCTGGACTTGAAGGGCGCGGGTGACGCGACGCAAGTCTCTGACAGCGCCAAACCGCTATGGCATGTCAGCTCCGACGAAGAGGAGTCTGACGACGAAGAGAAGCGCCGCGACGATGAGGAAGAGGAGGGCGGACTCCTCTCGAAGACGAGGCTGGAAGCGGTGGGCGAATGGGGAAGAGAGGGGCGAAGTCTGAAGCTGGGTGCGCAAGCGTCATAGCTGACGTCCTACCCGTCCCCCATCCTTTTCCATTGCGTAGATCGCCTTTCTGTTCGCACAGCCGGATGCCACAACCGATGTCGCCGCGTCGGGAACGCGGCTCGTTTCGACAACAAGGTCACAAATAAATCATACATGACGTAGCGCGGGAAATGCAAGTGGACAGCTTGGAATGCGGAAAGCGCAACATGATATCACCGCTGCAGCGGGGCGCGATTTCGAAGTACCGAAACCGCGGAAATCAGACAAACGCTGCCGTGGGAGCAAAATCCGGAAGGACTGGGAGCGTGGAGCCGCAGCGAAAGCTGAACCAGGAGCACGGTTTTCTGACAGAATTGAAAGCGATTTGATTGGGAACAAACATACGAATTACAAAATCAGCGGCGTCGTGTCTTACAAATGCAAAGCGCTGGTGGGGGCCAAGACACCGGCGTCTTCGGGGGAGAGAGAAGAATCGCATTCATAGCGTGTACCCATCGGTCGGACAAAATAAATAGAAACATGGAGTAGGAGGGCGTTGAGAGTAGATTGGGCCCCCGCGCGCCCCCTGAACAGGACGGAAGAGGGGGCGCCACTCGACCCGTGAAGTAGGAAGGCGCTTAAAGCAGATTGGAAGCTGGGAGTCTCAAAATACCTACCTTCAACGACCGATGTGTATCCACATGGTGCACCTGTGGATCAGGAATGGGCGGATTGACTCGCCCGCTGGCCGCGCCGCGCCGACGAGGCGGGCCCGCGGCACCGCGGCGCCGCTGGAGGGTGCCGCGCCACCTGGAAAAAGGACGCGGGACCTCGAGGGGGGTCTGCGGCCTGGTACTCCTCCGCATCCGACGCTTCTTGGCGGGATGCAAATGGGGGGATAAGTCCAGATGGGGAGAGAGGCGCAACCGAGGTACACATTGTACCTACGCCCCACGGAGAAGGTACAATTTGTACCGACGCCACGCAGACAAGGTACAAATTGTACTTTTGACCACGTCCGCGACATGTGCGAGGATGTTAACGGGGGGGGATAAGGTACAATTTGCACTTGCAACCCGCAGAGAAGGTACAACTTGTACCCCAACAAGACGGTACCGGATACTCATCCCCCCATGTCCTGATCCCCCCATCGCCATCCGGCCGAGCTTCTAAATCTGACCATATATATTTGTTGTCTTTCGATGGGGGCAAAGCTCCGCGAAGCTACCCTGGGGCTCTGGTGCACAGAAGAGACGAGCGATTGATTAGCGGGGCATTGATTCACTCTCTTGATCCCGCGAACTGCTTCCACGGTGGCATTTGCCAAGGCGATGGCCTCAACTAGACAATTATGCACCGGCCCTTCGAGATCAATGCCGGACGCGACTACAGGGGCGAACTTCCCCATGTCATTGATTGATGTACGAAGCCACCGTTATCAGCCTTGCACGTGCAGAAAAGGTCGCCCTCGTCCCAGAATTTGAGAAAAACGCGATGTTGCTACCTGGCGGGGTGGACAAGTTGCGTTCTTCCCTCCGCGCGCCTTAGACGGCGTCCATAGTATAGTTGCACAGGTGACATGCCACTGCGTTCTTGCCCCTGGCCATCTCGCGGGCACCGATTCGTTGTTTGAGACCGACGGGGGCTCGCGGCGGGCCGAATGCGTTCCTGCAGCTGACGCCAGCGAGTCCGAGATGTAGGCCCTCGCTCTGCCGGGCCGACATCTGACACTGCAAGCGCAGCGCACGACGCGTTGGCCATATCGATTGCAATCCCGCGCCGCCGCGGCGCCGCTCTCTGACGGCGGCCAATCCACGGCGAAAGCGGCCCAGGCTCTGATGCTAAGCAGAAGGCCTTGCCACCCGGACGATCGACGAGGCTGGTGCGCCCGAGGCGTAGGCCCAGGCTCTGCCGCGCTAGCTGATCCGACTGCGTAGGCCCAGCCCCGGCGCGGCTCTGCGTTCGGAGCAAGCCTCGCGGACACATCGCCCCGACCATGCTCGTTATTACCGCGATCGCCGTCATCGCCGCGCATCGTCGCCCTTCTCATCACGATCCCAATCGCCCAGCTGTGGCGGTGGCATTTATTGGGCCACGAAGGTGGCGGTGGCGCAATCATTGGCGTGAGCGCGCAATGTCGGGTCTTTCTCTCCTTATGAGAGAATTGTGGCGTTGCATATTTTTCCATGTGAAAGGAAATATGTATGATTGGTTGTCCTGCTGTTCCTGTTTTCCCGGCGAGCTTCCTCGGCCCGAAGGCGCTGCGTCTGGAATTCGCCACAATCAAAAATATTGAATTGTCAGTCGTTTGCGCATTGAGCTTGACTGTCGCCGCCTCTGGAAATCCCCAACCAAAACCAATTTGCACATGGATTACACATTGATTTTGATAGTCGCTGCCTTTGGAAAACTTGCGAAAGCAACGCCAATTTGCAAATCGAATGCAACTTTATTTTGGGCGCGTGGACTTAGAATTGAATTTGATTATGGCGCAATGGAAATACATTGCCAGAAGGGGGAATTAAAACATGAAACATCGCCGTGCAAATCAAGAAGAACACCTGGTTGTAATCGCACGAACGGCGGGCCCTACGGGGGGGCCCTCAAGGGGTGCTCGGGGGGGGGGGGGGGGGGGGGGGGGGGGGGGGGGGGGTGCTGAATTGCGAATAGGACGTTCGGCGAGACGATTCGCCGACCACAGAGGCACTCCGCCGCCCGAAACCGCAAAACCAGCCAACACAAGCCAAACGGCGACGAAACAGCGGGAGTCAGAAACAATCGCGCCTACGCGCTTACCGCGGCCGAGGACGAAAGGACATCGCGCGTGCGCGCCAACCGCAGGGCTGAAACCGACGTGCTGGGCCGAGCCCGTGGGCGCGACAGTTACAGGTGGGGACTGCCCCTCGCCGAAGGGGGAGGAGGGGAAGGAGGAGAAGGAGGGGGGGGAGAGGGAGGGGGAAGCGGGCGGCGAGGGATGGTTCAGGGGCCGCGGGCACCGAGGGATATTTTAGGGGCCGCGGGCACCGAGGGATGTTTTAGGGGCCAGCCCCTGCCCCCCCCCCCTCTCTTCGAGAGCCTTGGAGGTACCCTTCCCCCCCATCTTCTTCGGCGGTTGGGCCTGGTTGTTTTTGGAAATCCTGGCATTGGCGCTCGGCTTTTCCTGCCGCTGAGCTTCCGCCTTTCCCTCTCCGAGGCCCTGGAGGCTTCTTTCTTTTCCCTGGTGGCAGGGGGCCTTTTTCGTGTGAAGGGGATTCCCCCCTGCGCATCGGGCGCCTGCGCGCGGCGGCCGCCGCGGGCCGCGCGCTGTCGGCCACGTCGGAGAGACATAGGGCCGCTAGCACCCGAGCATTCGAGGGGGAGGGGGAGGAGGAGGAGGAAAGCGGAAGGCTCTCGGCCCAATATGCACCAACCCAAGACGATTTCCAGGGGCTTCCCAGGGTGCGGATTTGTGCTGCACTTGCCAACCAGTCAACCCAACGAGCCCGACCAGCCAATCAACCAGCCAACCAGCCCGACCAATCAACCAACCAACCAGCCAACCAACCAGCCAACCAACCAGCCAACCAGCCAACCAGCCCAACCAGCCAACCAACCAACCAGCCAATCAACCACCAACCAGCCAATCAATCAACCAACCAACCAGCCCAACCAACTTTGCGCGGGACACCTGCTGGAGGGCAGTTTAGGTCACCCGTCCAACTTTTGCGCGGGACACCTGCTGGAGGGCAGTTTAGGTCACCCGTCCAACTTTTGCGCGGGACACCTGCTGGAGGGCAGTTTAGGTCACCCGTCCAACTTTTGCGCGGGACACCTGCTGGAGGGCAGTTTAGGCCACCCTAGGTCCAGGCGTGCGATGGGCGAAACCCGAGAGAATTATTCACTGAGTGGAGCTCCCCGTATGTGCATTCATTAGCATGGACCCGCCAGCCGCGAGCGTCTAGGCGCAAGAATGTTCGAGTATACATTGGCTGGAGTACGGTCTGGGAGGGAATCTAATTGTGAATGGGTTGGAGTGTGAATGAGTTTCAGTAGTATCAGGTCTCTGCACCTGAGCTTGGGGTTTCCTGGGGCCTCTTGAAACCTCTTGGGGCTTCCTGTAGCCTCCTGGGGTCTCGTGTGGCCTCTGGGGGCCTCCTGGAGCCTCCTAGGGCATCCTGGGGAGGATTCGTGCCCCAGGAGAGGCCCAACCTGTAGGAACAGAGGTACATAAAACATGGCGGGTTGGAGCCACAGGCGAAGGGTAATATATCGGAACACACGTAAACCATCAAGGAATTGTGTTGTAGGGGAGGTTGAGTTTGTAGGAACATACGTACAACACTGTACAACACTTAGGAGTGGATGCGCAGGAATAGGGCATTCTATATAAACATACGCACAGCACTTCGGATTCGTGCTCCAGGGGGGGGGGGGGGGGGCAATCTATAGGAGCACGCGTACAGCACATGGGATTGGAGCCACTCCTGTGGCCTTCTGGGGCCTCCTACTCCTGGGGGCTCGTGGGGTTTCTGGTTTCCTGGAACCTCTTGGAGCCCCTTAGGGCCTCCTGGGGTCTCCTGTGGTCCTCTGGGGGTTCCTGTGGTCGTGTGTGGCCTTGTGGTGCATCCTGGAGCCTGCTGGAGCATCCTGTGGCAGCCTAGCAGGATCCGTGGCCTCATGTGGCCAGCACAATAAGCAAGCCGCTCGACACATCCTTAAGATCTGGCACCCCTGGGGTGCGAAAGCCAGCGCCTCGCTCGAGATATCCTCAAGATCTGCTGCGAAAGCGGACGATGTTGGGCATGCAGCCAGGCACATTATTCGATACATCCCCGCCATCTAGGCGCGAACGGGAGAGTGAGGTACCCCCTGGGAGCTCCCCCTTGGGGGTGTTGAAACCCGCGCTTCGCTCGATACATTCTCAGACTTTGCTCCGCCATCATCATCATCATCATCATCATCATCATCAGCAGCAGCAGCAGCAGCAGCAGCATCAGCAGCAGCAGCAGCAGCAACATCATCACCATCACCATGACCGTCACAATCAGCATCAGCACCATCAGCATCATCGCCACCACCACCATGGCATAACAGAGCATAACGTAGCATACCATAACGTACCGCAACCTAACATATTTCGCTTGGGCCTTTGAGAGGCCTGGACAGAGGTCCGCTAGCCAGTAACTCCAGTAACTCCTCCTCCACCTCCTCCTCCTCCTCCTCCTACCTCCTCCTCCTCCTCCTCCTCCTCCTCCTCCTCCTCCTACCTCCTCCTCCTCGGTCCCCTCATCATCCTCCTCCCCCTCCTCATCCGCCCTCTCCTTTTCCTCCTCCTCATCATCTTCCTCCTAACTACTCCTCCCAAGAAGTCCCCAGGGCCCCAGGAAGACCAAGATCCCAAGCGTCCCAAGTGGCCCCCTAGGATGATCGACTCTCCGTTCGCACCACACCCTGAGGCACGATTCACTCACGATTGATCTGACAACGGCGCCGCCGCTGCCGCCGCCGGCTGCAAGCTCTGGCTGACCGCCTCAGCCGTGTTCTTCGCCTCCCCCTCTGGGTACAACTGCCCCCACCCCTTGACCTGCTCGCAGACGTCCTGGGGCAGGCCCTGGAGGAAGCTGAGCCTCAAGCCGTGGCACGGATCCTTCGTGATCTCCCAGACGAGGTAGTGGGGCGGCATCACCAGCAACGAATTCTCAACGGCATTGGTGCCCACCAGGAACGGCTTCATCTTGCCGAGGTCGTCTTCGGAAATCTCCTTGAGGGCCCAGGTCTGCAGGCTCGCGGCGTTGATGTCGTCAACCTTCGTGCTGGCATGATCCTTCGCGAAAGCCAGGAGCTCGCCACACGGCGCGGCGATGACCATCCTTTCGCCACCAACCTGGAAACGGGCCGTCGGCAAACAGTTGAAGTCTGGCCCGAAGGTGTTCTGCTTCCCAGCCACGCCGTACATCGAGACTCCCATCTTCGCGGCCAATCCCGATGACACTTCCTTTGGGGCAACTGGGAGATGCTCGAATAATTTGTTGATCGCGCCAGCGATGTCCTCCTTGCCGTTGCACTTCAGCTTGCAGTGCGCTCGCCCAGATACCTTCACTGGGGTTGAAGACAAATACCCCTGCTTGAAGATGTCGAGGTTCGTCTTAACTTCGGCCCCATTCGCGCTCACAATGAACTCCATGATCGAGCTGCACTTCTTCACGATGAACGGCTTGGTGAGGTCGGGCTTGTCACTGAGAGCATCGGCGTCGGACTCGTATGCGTGCATCGGCTGCGCGTAGCTAAAGCCCTTCTCGAACATGGCGCCCGCGTCCTGCTTCGCGGCCGGCTGCTGCTGCTGCTGCTGCTTGGCAGCCGTCTTGGCAGCCGTCCTTATCTTCTTCTGTTCGTCTCTCGCTTTCTGTCTTTCCTCAGCTTTCTTCCTAGCCTCTTCCGCCTTTTGCGCCTTCTTCTTCTGGGTCTCGCGATCCTTCATGGCGGCCTTCAGCTCAGCGGATGCAGCGGCGAGAGACGATGCCAGCTCAGTGTATGCGACTTCGATGTCATTGAGCTGCAACTCCATCTGTTTGAGCTCATCTGGTGCCTTGGCCGTCTTCAACTCCAGAATCTTCGCGTGGAAAACTCGCAGCGTCACCAACTTCTCTGGGGATCCGCACGGCTTATGCTCCATCGAGGAGAGGGCATCCCTCATGCGCTGGACGGTGTCGTCGAGGTCCGGCGGGGCTGGCGGCGAATCAGGCACATCCTCCCCGTAGCCCTCGATCACGATGTTCGCCAAGCTCAGCCTCTCTCGAACAACGGCCTTGTATTCCTCTGCGTCAGTCGCGTCCTTAAGTTCTTCCACATCTGCCACTGTCCTGGTAACCGCATGCTTCAGCGAGGGCTGCACCTTGAACACCAGCGCACTTTTCCAAGAGTCGTGGGCTCGCAAGCGGATGAGCGACAAGTCGCCCTTCTTGCTGTCGCTACCCTGTCCCCCACTGGCGCCGCCGCCGCCCCCCGCCGAGCCGCTGGGCGTAGCCTTGGGGGCAGTCTTGCGCTTCACAGGGGTCCTGAGGTCGCCGTCGTCGTCATCGGAAGCCTGGCCGTCGGTGGGAGCTGCCCTCTTACCAGCACTGGAAGACGCAGCCCCGTTCTTCTCCGCGTAGAGCTTGAAACCCTCGTCGGTGTCGACCGCCATGTCCCCGCTCTTCGCCTCCTTGCTGACCCGCTCGGCTCGATGGCCACCCTTGGTCTCTTTAAACTCGTTGATGAAGGTCTTCACCCTGACTCGAACCCTCTCTGGATACTTCTTGTTGTCACCGTCCAAGTCGTAGTCAGTGGTGCCCTTGTACTTCTTCACAGCCTCGTTCCACTTTTCGGTGATCTCCTGCGGGGTGAACTTCTTTTTCAAGTAGAACTCTTCGTGTTCGAAGAGGTCCATCATTTGGCTCTCATCGCCCGCCTGACTCACATCGGACTTCTCCATGATCTCAACCAGTCGGGCAACCTTGTAGATTGGTCGGGTCTTACCACGCCCGCGCGAAGCACACGTCAACTTGTAGTCGTTCAGCATTTTCCTGAAGATCACGGGATTCTTCAAGCCATCTTCGTACTTATCCAGCCACCCGTTGATCTGCGCATCTTTTTTCATGGCATCCATCTCGCGCTTGTCGTCGTGGCAGACCGGGTTGTTGCCGCAGCATGCCTTCTCGGGGTCCAAGCAGATGAAGCACACCTTCTTGGCCGCCTTGGCACTGGGAGCGGCGCCGCTGCCGCGGCGGCTGGCGGCAGATCCCTTGCCTCTCTTCCCGCCAGGCGCACCCTCGGGAGGAAGAGCCGCCTCCTCCGCCTCGAAGTCCATGGCACCTTCTGCCATGGTGGTGGCTTTCGATGGTCCTTATGCCCAACTGCTTGCCTGAGTAATTACGGCAATGGGGCCAATGTTTGATTTGGGCAATGTTTGATCATGATTTGGGCAATGTTTGACTTGGGCCATGGGTTTCATTGGAGCAATGCGTGATCTAGGCACTTTGATGCCATGCATTATCTACATTGCTGTTGCCGCCCTCGGAGGAGGGAGGGCGAGATGGGAGAGAGGGGCGAGCGGCAGGACGTCTTGCGATGAGGAACCCTTTGATGGGGAACGACGTCCCTCCCTTGGAGGCCCCAGCTGAGACCATATGTACGTTTCTACGTTCCCTACGAGGGGGGCTCGAGGATCTTGGAAACTTCTCCGATGCCAAATTGGCCCTTATTCCAACGTTTTTTATCTCTGGAAGGCGGAGGGGATTTCAACGGGAAGCGGTCTCTGACCGAAAGAATCGAAGCGTTCGGGCACAGGGCTCGGGCAGATGCGGGCCGCGAGGCAGCTGCAGGCTAGATGGCCACCACAAGGCCTATCACTGATCACCCGTACTCTAGTC